AGATCTCCCCACATCTCCCCCCGTATCTCCCCATATCTCGCGAGCAGAAGCGGCGTCTTTAGACGGAAGGCGCGTGCTCTTGTCTCCCAACCAGCGCTCGAGAGGACACGGACTCCGCCGCATCCGACCGCACTCCGCTGCACTCGCTGTGCTCACGCGGTGCTGCGAAGACACGGCACAGTACTCTCTTCCCAGCCCCCCCCCTGACGTCGGCCTCTTCACACACGTAGGGCTGCTGCAGCCTCCCCCTCCGAGGGAATGCGAGTCATGACTGGTGAATTAAGAACTGATTAGGCTGCTGGAGCGTCTCCCTCCCGCGACGGCGCAGCAGGCGGCGGCGATGCGCGCCTCGATCTGCCGCCTCGCGGAGCGCCAGCCGCTGCCGGGAGGCGGCAGCATCCTCACCTCGCCTCGCGCCTCCGCCTCCGCCGCCTCCGCCGCCTCCACCTCCCCCTCCGCCTCCCCCACCGCCAACCCCTCCGTCGCCCCCTCCGTCGCCCCCTCCTCCGCCTCCTCCGCCGCCCCCTCCGCCTCCTCCTCCGCCGCCCCCTCCGAGCGGCTCTCTGGCGACGGCACCGACGAGGCTTTTGCCACTCCCCCCACTTCGCCGGAGATGGCGCCGGCGGCGGCCGAGGCGCGGCGGCGGCTGGGCCGCAGTCGTTCAGGAATGAATGAATTAAAAGACGTCAGTTATTGAGTACTTAGGCGCGGCGCGGCTGGGCCGCCATCGTCATGAAGGGGACGAGCAGCGAGCCGCTAGAAGCGCGAGATCTCCCCATATCTCTCCTGTATCTCCCCCATATCTGGCAGCACGTCAGCCTAGAAGCGCGAGAGACGGCATTCCTGTCCTTCAACCCGCGCCTCGAGGCGGGACTCGGGCTCAACTGTGCTCGAGCGTATTCGGCTGTATGCCGCTGCATTCTCCTCCCTCGTACTCACACAGCGCTCGGAAGACACTGCACAACATTCCCGCCCCCGAGGCTGGCGTACTCTTCACGCAGGCGAGCCTCGCAGCCCTGGCCCGCGCAGCCCGGGCGGCGCCATCGCCGAGGAGAGCCCGCCGCAGCCTGTGAATCATTGTCTAAGACCTCGCCTGTTTCATCAACCATTAGGCGCCATCGCCGAGGAGAGCCCCGCCGCAGCCGCCGACCCAAAGGAGCGCGTTTCATGAATCAGTCACGCCCTCGCCTATTCTTGGTGGTTGACTCAAGTATTGCTAAGACCCAAAGGAGTGTGCGGCGAGGCTCTTAAATAAGTACTGGTTGTAAATCTAGTTAATAATTAATTAAGACCCAAAGGAGTGTGCGGCAAGGCTCTTTTCTAATTAATAACTAATTAAGAATGACCCGAAGGAGTGTGCGGCGAGGCTCGAGGCCGCGGGGCGCTTGCTCGAGGCGGTGCAGCGGCTGTGCCTCATTCTTAGTTAATTATTAATCAGGCGCCCAGTGAATTAATAAGTAGGCGGTGCAGCGGCTGTGCCTCGTGCCGCGGCCGACGTTTCGCGACGCCCTCTTCTTCCCGCACGCTTCGGCCCTCGAGCGGCTGCTGGCGCTGCTGCGGCGCGCAAAGTTCTCGATTGATGTCTGCGTGTACTGCGTGACGGAGGAGCGGCTTGTGGCGGCCCTTCGCGAGAAGGCCGCGGCGGGCGTGGCGTGTGCGGGTCTCCAGTAGTACTTGATTGGGCGAGGTCCGAATTAATCATTGATTAGGCGGCGGCGGGCGTCGCGGTGCGGATTGTGTCGGACGAGGACCAGGCACTTTCCTCCCCTCTCCTCCCTCCCCTCTCCTTCCCCCCCCCCACCCCTCTCCCCTTCCTCCCTTCCCCTTCCTCCCTTCCCCTGTCCCTCTCCTCCTTCCCCTGTGCGCAAGTCCGCGACACGTCCGCAACACGTCCGCGACACGTCCGCGACA